ATGTACAATTAAATATGTATATCATTTTCGACGAGAGAAAAAAAAATGATTTTTCAGCGTATATATACGAATGATTTTCTATGTAAAATCATTCAAATTTTTGAATCAAATAATAATCATTTTTCTTTTTCTATTTTAGATTGACCTTGATGATACAAAATTAATCAAATCAAGATGAAGCCATACAATAAAAAAAATGTAGGTATCAGTTTTAATTTTTTTTCTTTTTTTTATTTAACGATTATAAGGATGGTGAAGTAAGACCTCCTATAATCTTTTTAATTTATTTTTCTTTCTTTTGTCTTAGGTTCGATGAATATTTTCAACTATGACAAGGTAACAGTGGGGTAAGTTAACTCATTCTTTTTTTTTGTCATTATATAACATTAAACTAATTTTTCTTTTTAGATAGTCATCGTCGTGTATTCAATATCAATTAATAGAATTGTAAGTATAGATTTCTTTATAGTTAGTGAGATAGATAAGGTATGAGTGAGAGTGAGGATAGGGCTACTCTAAGATAAGTGAGATAGAGTTATGGGTGTTAGTTAGATCGTCTTCCCAGGTTAGACGTTAAACACTGGCCAGGAACTATCTTGGTGTCCGTGGCACACGACCAGGCTTATTCAGACTCATTGACATATCTCTCGCGGGGAGGGTATGAATGATATGAGTCTGTCCTGTGCGTGCATGAGCGTTACGCTCGCCACGGCTCCACCAGGATGGTTCCTGGTCGCGCGCGCGCGAATAGAATAAGCCATTCATTTCATCAATCCAATGCGATTTATTTGAAACGAAAGGAGCGCAAAAAAAAATCTATTACGACGAGTCTATTAGATTGAAAAGCGTTGAACACGAGAATTGTTACAATCGACGACATAGAGATTGCCATGTCGATCGAAAGACAAACCGATGGGAAACCTGAACTGATTAGCTGCTTCTCCTTGACCATTTTCACCCACAATGACAGTGCCCTGTTTTGCTCCTTTAGGCCAACGCATCACTCGATGATTCCACCAGTCTGCCACATAGATGGTACCCAATGTATCGACGAATAGTCCTTGAGGATTCGGCAATTGTGTCAGGGCATTCCCTTTGCCTTGGCCTCCAGCGACGACAATTCCTTCTTTTGCACCTTTATTCCATTTCATTACACGATGATTGCTGTAGTCTGACACGTAGACAGTCTGTTGCTGATCGACAAAGATGTAGGTTGGAGTGCTGAATTGATTGAGACTAGTACCGTTGCCATTGCCACCAGCTACGATAGTTCCATTCTTGTCTCCTATTTGATATCGTCTTACTTCATGTTTTTCGATGTCAGAGATGTAGAGATATCTCTGATCATCCATGGCCAATCCCCAACACTTGATGTTGTCGATAAGGATTTCTCCTTGAGTTGTACCACTACGACGAGACCATCGTACGACTCGTTGATTGCCCAGGTCACAAATAATGAGACTATCCATCTCTTTGTCAATCAACACATCGGTTGGATAACTCAATTGATCCAATCGATTTCCTTGACCATTGCCACCAGCTACAACTTGTCCATTCGTAGCACCCATCTTCCATTGGATGATACGATGATTCAAGTAGTCAGCGATGACAATCGTTTGATCATCACCAACGAAGAGACCTTGAGGGTAGTAGAGTTGATTGGTGGCATTGCCTCGTCCATGGCCTCCAGCAACAGTCACCCCATTCTGTGCCCATCGGGCATTGATTGGAATATTAGGAATTACTACAATGAACGAAAAAGAAAAGAAATCGTCGTTGTCGAAGAGATCTCGTCTCTCGTGGGAGCAAGCGCTAGAAATATGATATTCGTCTTTGAGAATGCTCATTCCACAGATAAAAATTCAGAAGTCTTTTCCTAGTTTCTTATGAGAAAAAAGGATTTGGTAACGATTCTTACATCTATGTTACTTCTAGTTCTTGCCAAGATCTTTTTGATCATAAAAATAACATCTGGAGATTGCTGTAAGGAGGTTCTCCAAGAAAGAGTAATACTAATTCCATGCAAGTTTTTGATAGAAAAACAGAAGGATCTGAGAATTTTATTCAGAATTGCAAGAATCCAGAATCTTTTTGGCAGAATGATTATTTATATGAACATCAGAGAAGATTCTATCTGTATCTTCTGAGAAGAATATCGAATCGTTGAACAACAAAATATTAAACCTAATCCCTATGTTTTTAGGAAACCTTAAGGATACATGATTTTCTGTATGATGAATGTAGATCTGCCGAAGAATCTCCTAAGTATTTGCATAGACTTTTGGTAAGTTATGTGAAGCTGTTCGAAGAACAACCATGATGTACTCTGAGTAGGATCATGAGAAGGTTTGGATATAGGAGAAATTGAACAATGTTGAGAGAATTCCACGCGAATCTATTTAATCTGAAGGGACTTCTACTTTTGCAAATGCTGAAAAGATGGATGTCAATCCGAACGGAGTTCTCCAGTGACAAACATTGGAATCTATGGATTTTATGGGCTTTGAAAATCTAAAAATAATGTGTATCTTCTATGAGGATCATGCTATAATCCTTATGTAGTACTTGTTCTGAGAAGTCTTCTGTAAGCTTGCATGTTATGGATATGTTCAGGAGGATCTGAAGAGTAAGTATTTTGGAATGGTTGATATCAGAGATGGGCAATTACAACTCCAAAGTTGACACTATTTCTCATCAGAACGAGAGTGAAGGTGCCTATCTCTGGATTTTATGAGAAAGTTTATAAAACAATAGATTAATATGCTACTAATTGATATCAATCGTAGATTTAATTATGTTAAAAAACTTATGTGTATTTAAGAGTGTTTTGGTAGAAGTTCA